TTTACTGACTAGAAAAGGGGGAGGGGAGAGGGAGAAAGGCTCCTCAATACATCTACGTTTGCCAGGCTCAATTTGTACTGATTTTGAAGTAGAGTGGTACCAACAAATCTTCGTAGTTTTCCTTACTACTCGTTGAATTTATCGCAGAAATGCCCAATCTGCTTCGTTCTGAGATGTTTTTGATATTAACTGAGCATTTTCATCACTCATCCCCGAACTCTGGCTTTTCCAGACCACGATGAAAGATACCTCACAGCGTATTGTAGTGGTCATCTGACTTTTTTTTTGTTTAATTCATTGTTCCACTTTTTTTGAGGGTTTTTTTTTTGATTTAGTTTTTTTGGTTTTTGTGATTTTTGGTTTGTATTTTGGTGTTTTTTGTTTTATATTTCTGGTGTGAGATAATGGTATAGTTTGGTATTTCCCTGTTTCTAGCCGTGTGGTTATGCCGATGACAGTGGAAGAGTATCAAGTGGGCCAACTCTGGTCGGTTGCTGAAGCATCAAAAGCGGAAACCGGTGGTGGTGAGGGTGTTGAGGTGCTCAAGAATGAACCATTCGACAATTATCCATTATTTGATGGCCGATATACATGTGGTCAATTCACACACAAAATCTATCACCTACAAACGTATGTTTTTTTTTTTATCATTTTATACAATATTACTGTACGCATACATAAATGTGAATTTTCGTACTTTGTTTGGTATTTCGCCCGGTTAAGATATGTTGCATCATGACTCCCTCTTAGGCAGAGCATGTATAATGCCTATATATGGCCGCTGTTTCTGCGTTGTGGCTTAGTGTTGTGTTGTACTGAAGGCCCCGACGAAAAGCAGGGCCCTCCTAACCCGAATCATCACCAAAGAGTCAACGACCCAGCCAACAATCCAAGTAAGCACCGGATCAGTGGACGAGACCTCCAAAACCCCATCCCAACATAAGTGTTGTGGAAATGGTATCGGTTTTATGGGACTTCTTTCCATACAAGATGTCACAGTAGAGGTTTTTACAAGTAGAAATAGGGCTGATTCTT